CCCATGCCACCAGGAGCCATATTATCCCAGCTCCTTTTTGCTCCAGTCCATAGGACCAGAGTGTGGCTTCAGGCTGCTTCAGAGACATGTGTCACATGAATGTCACACTTCCCAAGCAGCCAGAAGCTGCTTCATTTAGCCCATATTTTCCATGCCCATGCCCCTATAATATGTGCAGCTTTGCCATTTTCTTTCACCTCTGAGTACATAAACACTGGAACATCGTTTCATCTTGAGTGCAGTTGTATCATTAGCCACAGTGCTATTCATGGTTGTCCTCTGCTGTACTCCAGTAGCTTGTTGGGTGGTATCCAGCTTGAGAGTATCATCTTCTGGCACTACCTATTGTTTAATTTTGAATTGTCTCATAATAGGATTTTTGTGGTAAAAGACATTCAAAAGGGGATTACTGTACCTCGTTCAGTGCAGTATTAACAAGTGTCAGCTATGATACTACTGCTATTGTCTCTGAGAGATCCTCCACCAGTATTACCCAGCACTACTGCTGCTGCCCAGTAGTTGTTTAACATCTTCAGTCTTGCTCCTCAGCAAAAAGCCTAACATTGAGAGACCCTACCAGCAGCATTCCTAGTGTCGGCATAGTGACTTGACTCACAGGAGCACACAAATCCACCACCATGGAAAGGCAGTGCCATTGGTGGAAAATTTACAAAATTCATTAGGACATGCTGAGAAGCAGAGAATGAAGAGGAAGAGGATATTCCCCCCCTCTGAAAAGTCAGGTGAAGAGGTTGTGATCCCTCCTGTCTTGTGAAATTTGGAGTGAAGGTGGACAAATTGGGATGGTAGCTTTCTCTCCTTCTTGTTCTTCCCATGTTGGAAGGAGGTGAGTTGTTTTTAAGAAATGGGATGGAGGATTTATTAATTCATTCTTTTATTCATTATATTTAATTTATTTATTCATTTGATTTAATGTAATTCATTCATTTAATTTGATTTAATCCCAATTTTCTCCTACTACAGACTCAAAATAATCTCTCAATATATGTTAAAACGAAATAGCTAAACTAATATATGGGATGGATCCCATGCAGAAACTGAATTTAAAGTGAAAACAACCCACAAAAGAGAGTTATTTTTACACAATGTTTGGGATTAACCCACACATAAAGTAGAAATAACCCGCAAAAGTGGGTTGTTTTTCAGATGGCATTGGCCTCAAGGAGAAATAACACAACATTAATCTGAAAGGAAAGTCGCCAAAACCTGCTCCTTTTTACTTTCAAGAACTTCTGAGAGTAAAAAGGAGCAGGTTTTGGTGACTTTCCATTTGGATTAGTGTCACGTTATTTCTCCTTTACACAAACACATCTGAAAAACAACCTGCTTTTATGTGTGTGTGTGTGGGGGGGTGTCTGGATTTTTAAATCCCATTTCTGCATGGGATTTAAGTAATTTGCTTCCATGTGATAAGGTCCCTAGAGAAGAAAAGATTAAGAGGGGATATGATAGTCATGTTTAAATATTTAACAGCCTGTCATATTGAAGATGTATCAAGCTTGTTTTCTGATGCTCCACAGACTAGCAGCATTATCACTAGGTTCCCTCTCCTGCTGCAATTCCATGGCCTGTAAAAATCAGGATGGTATTTTGAACTCCCTCACCGTTGGTCCTGATCTCAAATTAGAGTGCCTGCTAGTGGCCAAACCTCATCACACTGCCTTCAGCACTTCTGCCCTTCCTCCCTCCTCTGCTCTATTTCTTGGGAAAGCCACATGGCTACTTGTGAGGAGAGTGAGGAGTCAGGGCAGGGGTAGGAGGAGGGAAGAAAGTCTGTGAGAGAGAGAGAGAGAGAGAATTTTTCTGTGTGTATGAGAAAGAGAAGCATTGCAACATCAGAACACAAATGTGGAAGGGGACTTGATCTCTATTTTCTCATGCATGCCAGTGAAGACCTGGCAAGATGAGGAGGAAATCACTATTGAACTTGCACATTATCAATCATATGTGACAGCACACCTAAAGAAGGTCATTAATAGATTTTTCCTGTCAGTAAAAGTACTCACATTTACTCCCATAGTTCAACCACACAACAACATCATGCAGGAAGGGGGAATCGAATACACAGTTAGCACATTATCCTGACACTTTGATGGCCATGTGTGATAAGGGCCTAGGATACAGATCAACGGATTCAAATTACAGGAAAATAAATTCCAATTAAACATTAGAAAGAACTTGCTGACAGTAAGAGCTATTTGACAGTTGAATATGCTGCCTCAGAGTGTGGTGGAATCTCTTTCTTTGGAGGTCCTTAAACTGAGGCTGGATGGCCATCTGTCAGGGGTGCTTTGATAGCAAGGGGCTGGACTGGATGACCCTGGTGGTCTCTTCCAATTCTATGATTCTATGATACATTATCAGCTCCCAAAACTCTATTCCAGTGTTTCCCAAATGTGTTTGGACTTCAGCTCCCAGAATCCCTAACTGTTAGTCAGTCTGCTTGGGGCTTCTGAGAGTTAAATTGCAAGATTGGTCCTGGAGGGCCAAAGTTTGGGAATCACTGGCCTATTCAGATCTCATGAATTCCTCTCTTCCCAACAAGCTCAACTCACTGACTGGCCCTAATTAATGCTTTTACAGCCAAGCTTCTTGGGGTTTTTGCCCCATAGCACCACTACCCCTGCATCCCATGGCTAAGACTGCTGGTTCTACCCAGGCTTGCCTACTTTCTCACTTCACACTCTCCCTCATATAAGCAAGGTGGTTTGTGCTTCATCTCCCCTTCCCACACTCAACTCCCCAAGGCCTCTTCTTGCCTGATCAGTCATTACAGTAGAAGAAGTCAAGTGGGATGGATTAATGGAAAGAAATTCCACCTAAATCTCAGGAGGAACTTCCTCAAGGTCAGAGCTGTTCAACAGTGGAATACACTGCCTCAGAGTGTGGAGGAGTCTCCTTCTTTGGAAGTTTTTAAACAGAGGCTTGATGGCCATCTGTTGTGGGTGTTTTTATTGTGAGTTCCTGCATGGCAGGGGGTTGGACTGGATGGCCCCTGAGGTGTCTTCAAACTCTATGCTTCTATGGTTCTATGAAAGAAGAAACCACTTCAGGAAAGAGAACCAGAGGGAAGACAGTGACCACAATCTTGTTAGATTTCTATGCAGGTGTCACTATACTGATGTAGGTTGTGAAGACAGAAGGAAAATGTCTGTGGGTGCACCAGCTGTGAAAGAGGCAAAGCACTGGACAAACAGGCTGCTTAGAGCCAGCCACCACCTCATGTGTAACATTGACAAAAATGACAACTCCTAGGATAGTTCACCAACAAGGTGTTCATATCTGCTCCCCACTCTCCAGCAAGCTCAGATAGAAGACAGCCATCTTTTCTTCTCCTGTTTCATTTGTTCTCACGGAACAGACCCAAGGCATGGAAACTAAACAAAACCCATAAACCCTGTTCATCCTAGGGTTTTTAGATTGTATGTGCTGTTTTTCACTTGGAGCCACTTGTGGGGAGGAAGGATTAAAACTTAACAGGTGCAAATATTCAGCATATAAGGAGGAAGCCACAAAGTGGTTCTTTTTGGCTATCTGAACATGTGCAAATGTTTTATTTCTTTTGCTCTATTCTTCTTCATTTGCTTCCCTGTCATAGTTCCTTTGCGTCACTGCCCTTATTTTGCACATAGACTCAAAAAAATTCTCTGTATTTCTTTTTCCTCCTAAGGAAAGCCATGATACAGCAGGCAGCTTAGGGGGGTTGCAAACTGCCAGAAATAGTGAAAATTCAGTCCACTTTAAGGGTTAGGGTTAGGGAATCGTGGAAACTGTATTTTATTGTGGCACCAAAGCTCTCTGACAGAGAAGGCTCAATGTCTCAGAAAAAAAAACAAAAACAATTCCCATGATTCTGTAGCACTAACCCTAACCCTAAAAGTGGACTCAATTTGCACTATTTCTGGCACTCTGCAACCCCCCTTAGCCAATTTAGCAAAAGCCTTATGATTCTTTTCCTAACCCTTCTTCTCTTTTGAGGCCTTCCTGTCTAACATCTAGTAGAGGAAGATCTCCCCTCCCCCATGAAATTATCTTATTAAAACATAGGAATAAAGTCAGTGTTAATCAGGAAATCTAGCATGCCAAAACATGTTAGGTGGGAAATCTAACAAATTAACAAGTTAATTAGCTAGTTATTTCCCAGTTCTGGTCCCATTGACTAAGCCCATCACTGGATCAGCCTACCAAAGATATGTTTACAACACAAATTGGCCAACCTGGTCACCACAAGATGACTGCAAGATGACTCACTGAGTATTTAGAGTGTTATACATACCCTCCAATATTTCATAGATAAAAACTGGGACAGTGTGGCCAAGCAATATCAGCATTTGGTCAAGATGGCACACACCACTTATGAGGAAGAACACACAATCGAGGAGAGGCTGAAGCAGTTTGCTTTCGTCCCAGCCTTCTGGGAAGGGCACCATTCTGTCTCCTTTTCTCTTCTTCCCTGCCTCCTGATTAGTTGAGTGGGAAAATGGGAGGAGAAAAGAGAAACTGAGGCATTTTAAAAGCAGCTGGAAAAGTGAGATAGGAAAGGATTAATCAAGATTGTGAAGTCATAGGCTTTCATGGCCGGCATCCATAGTTTTTTGTGGGGTTTGGGGGCTGTGTGGCCATGTTCTAGAAGAGTTCTACATCAGAAAGGAACTTTCTAGAACATGGCCACACAGCCCAAAAAACCCACAAAAAACTATTAATCAAGATTGTCCCTGTTAAATCAGGAGAGCTAAAGGGCAGGTTTTACCATCAGACTACCACTGGAAAGGACATGCTGATATGAATATGCCTCTGAAAGTCAGTAGGCATTATCTTTGTTGTTGTTCTATGTTTTCCAGTTGTTTCCAGCTTATGGCGACCCTCAGGCAACCTTATCGTAGGGTTTTCTTGGCAAGATTTGTTCAGAGGATATTTGTCATGGCCATCCTCTGAGACTGAGCGAGTGTGACTTGCTCAAAGTCACCCCGTGAGGTTCATGACTGAGCTGGGAATTGAACCCTGATCTCCAGAGTTGTAGTCCAGCACTCGAATCACTACACCACTCTGGCTCTCTGTGTACTAGGCATTTTCTACTGCACCCAAATAACATCTGTGTTTTTTGTGTGTAATGTGTGCATACAGAGCTCATCTAATTGTTGTTAGTGCTGGTATGGATGTGATTTGTAGCATGAAAAAAATGTACCTTTTCAAACCTGGCATGCACTTTCAACACAGTAAGAATTACACTATCCATGAAGAGTGAATACATATTCCTCTGGGCCCGAGAGGCTGGTTGCTCTGGACCTTAACAGAGAAAATGCCTGTGGTAAAATGAGAAGTGGAACTCTTGTAACAGGGCTCCGGGCTGCTCTGGCATGTATATTTACTGGCATGATTTGCATTTCCCCCAATTCATACAATAAAGCTTGGCAAAACTGATCAGAAAAAGAACAGCTCCACGGGATTCTGTGGCTGTTTCATGTCTGTATTACCCTAAAATGGCTTTAACCTTTTAAAATTCATTGCATTACCACTGGGTGCGACCACTCTATGTATTTCTCACAGGTTAACAATGCTATAAAGAGCCTGGCTAGCCAGCAAAAATCAGAAAATACTGAAAAGGTCACAGCATAGCAATTGTTGCAAAAGCTTCCCTCTAATTTAGAGTAGCCTGTGACCTTCACTTAACCCTTACTTTAAATGACTGCAAATTAACCCAGGCAATGTAAGTGAGGCTTTAGAAATCTAAATGAATTGAAAGAGGGAACTATATCCAACAGCTTTCCATCAATGACAAAACAGAGCTATTTAGCACAAAGCGTACCAGCTTCGCCCCCACAGAGAGAAGAAATGCCCTATTTAAGTCCTGCTTTCAGACCTCAGCATAGTATTTCCCTCTAGCATGCCTGATACTGCTGAAGCACATTTATTGAATCCATTGGTATGCCATAAAATCATCCTTATCAAGTAACTGAAACCCTTGACAATAGATACTTAGCCCCATGATTTATTTATTTCTATCGCAACTCACCCTAGTTCTTCCAAGCAATCAAAAGTGGTGAACATCTCTATGACATAAGGTAAGCTCAAAGAGGGCAAACTGCTAAGTGTCAAGCTGTGGGTTGATAGTGTCTCAAACTAGGGCCTCCATCCACCAGCGTTAGGAATCTTACATCCATGTTCATTATCCTTCTGTGCCTTCAACCAATGAGCCACAACAGGTCAGCTATGGCATCATCTCAGCTGCAGCAGAGGTAAGACCCACTCAGTGACCCAACCATGTGATCTCACCTTGCAGCCCAATGGAAAGGCAACTGGTCCTACAAATATATCTTCTTTTAGGCTGGCTTGGTAATATGAAACACTCCTATTGGATATTAACGCAGGTTTGCATGTACCTTGTTCATTCAATCTAGTGTTTGATCTCCAACCTGTTCACAACCCTGCCTCCTACTTTTGGCCATAAGACCATTGACATGTGCCAGTCTCAAACTGTGAGCAGCCTGTTGAGACTAAGGCCAGTTAGAACAGCTGTTGGGTGCTGTACCAGCCTGAGTCTGTGGCTCTCCTGTTATCATTATGTCTAATTTATGGCCACTCTATCATAGGATAAGACTTATTCAGAGGAGGTTCACCATTTCTTTCCTCTTAGGAGTGTACCTCTCATAGGGATGTTTTTAAACTGGGTTTTCTGTTCTATTTTAAAAAAACAAATTAAATTCTGTTTCAATAGTTGACCTTGTTTTCTGTTTTAATTGTATTCTTCTTTTATTGAAAGTGAATGTGGGCTGCCTTGAGACCCATTTTGGGTGCATCTACACTGTAGAAATACTGAAATCACTTTAATATTGCAGCTCGATCCTATGGAATCCAGGGATTTATATATTAACAAGGTCTTAGCCTTCTCTACCATAAAGTGTTGGTGCCTCAACAAACTACAAATTCCAGGATTCTGTAGGATGGAGCCACAACAGTTGACGTGGTGTCAAACTGCATTATTCTACAGTACAGATGCACTCTTTGAGAGAAGGCAGAATATAAATTCTATAAATAAATGTATGAGTGTATGCTTAGCTGAAGGACAATATCACCCAGTGAGCATCATGGCTGCATGCACACTTAATGTCTAGGTTTCAGAGATCCTGGAATCAGAGAGAGGGGTTGAACTCTGGCAGGCAGTTTATTATTAATTTTGCCTAGGTTCAGGTATGATTTTACAAAATGGTGAAAGTACAGAATGTATTACATTAAAAAAAAAACACCACCAGTAGGAAAGACTGACTACCATGAAAACAATGGCAAAATAATAAACAAAATATTTCAAACTGAATAAATTCAAAAATTCAGTTAATATATCAAGCAAAGACTCTAGTAAGTGAATGTAAAGATTACTATAAGATCTACTAACATATTTGCCCCTACCCTATGTACACTACTTTAAAAGCAAAAGATGTGGAGATATGTTAGAAGATATAGGACTGTAGGGGGAATGTACATCTACGGTACCAAGTTTGAGACTTAGAGAATCTCCTGATGCAAAAACTAGGGATAGCTAATGAAGAGGTCACAACGGCTGGTAACAATTTTTTAGGGTGCTGAGAACAAAAAGAGAATGTAAAGAGATCCAAACAGATCTTTCCAAACTGAGAGAATGCACTTTAAAATGACAAATGAAAGTTCAGTTGAACAAATCTAGACCTTACTGTGATCAGGAATCTCCAGTCAGTTCATCAAAAGAGTTATCATAGTGCCTGAGGGGAGTGCAAATTAATTCTCCCATATGTTGTCATCCTTAAATATGAAGACTCTTACCAGCATATGTACTTAGAAGACCCTTCTATCTGTTCAGTGTAGCTTACTCTCAAGTAACTGTGCATAGGATAGATAACATAAAGTCTTTGTTATTCCTGGGAGGATTCCACAACAATGTATACTTCTGTGCTTGAACATTTAGTACATTTATGACTTATCCTCCAGAAGTTTAACTACACAATCAATGGTCCAATTTTGCCTGATCATTTTTGGGGGACAGGCTTAGCCCCCCTCCACCTAGTCTGGGGGACTCTAGGCCCCATTGACCCTTCATTCAGGGATCAATGCCAAGTTTTCCAGGTCTATGTTTAGCACTTAACACTCTCTCCTCAATATGTATTAAATGTTGGCTTGAATGTTGTCCCTTTTTTAAAAGCATGTAAGTAGTCTGGTTGCAGGGCAAAGGATTTGCAGAACATTTCTTGTACTTGAGAAATCATCTCAGTCTCTTAAAGAAAGTATAAAACAAGTCTTGCTAAATTGATTGGCAGGTCTCCATATATAGCATTGCAGCTTTTGTTACACATCCAGGAAGGTAATTGCTACACATTCACTGGCAGGAATGCTATTCCAAATGTCCAACTAGGGGAAATAGCCAAACAGGTAAAAGTCTAGGGATGAATATGTACTACCATGTAACACACCTGAGACTGAATTAAGCTTCATAATGTCCCCAGAGGAACACTGGGAATATTAATTCTGTGACAGAGTTAGAGTCTTTTTCCCTCTGGAACTTTCATCACCCTAGAACTAGCCATGCCATGAGGCAGAGTGAGGAAACTGCCTCAGGCAGAACAATCTTGGCATCGGGGAAAGGCAGCAAATTGGTATATATTAATTTATAATTGCTGTATTTTACTGCTATGGAGTAAAGTGCTTGTGGGTTGATTGTGGCCTCAGGTGCCAAAATAACTTGTTTGACAGTGGGTATTATGCACCTTGACTTGGTCAATGAGTGACTGCTCTGCTTGAAGCATCAAAATATATTTGGTCAGCCCCACAGTTTCCTCATAAGTTTCTATTTACTTTGGGAAGCCATGATAATGATTAAATTATGTGAAATTGGTCTAAATTTATAGTATCAGGTAGAAGTAGGCAGCTATGATTTTCCAGATTTTTTTGGCCCACAATTGCCATCAGTCCAAGACTCGGCCAATGGTGAGAGTTTATGGAAAATAGAGTCCAAAACATCTGGAGGGACACATGGTATACTCTTGGGGTAAAAAGAATTCAGTATAACATCTCCACACTGTCTACTTACTATTCTTGCTTCTGTAATTGGCAATTGCTCAGGGTGTTCCCCCTCCCCAATTTTTGCTGCCGCTCAGAATATTTCAGGTCTACAACAGTTTGCCACAAGCTCAATATATGTTAAACACCATTCTCTGAGAGGTACTGCTTGGTGATTAGCTGGCTGATAGGATGGACTGCTCATTGAATTCCCAGGGCAAAATAATTCAGAGACATGAATCCATAGCAACTAAATTCTCTTTCTTGACTTCCTTTTAACAAGGACAAGTATATCTTTTCTTTTTTTTCCATTTCTCCTAAATCTTTAGCATTTTGCAGTCAAAGCCCAAAGCACTATGATGACACAATGCCAACTTGCAGCAATCTGGGCCATTAACCTATATTCTGAAGTAACCCCCTCATTATTATCAGTGTGGATTCTAATGCTTCATCAGCATATTGCATTGAAATCAGAGTGTCTCTTTCCATCTGACCTCCCATGTAACTATTTCTTCACATCTTTCAAAGGCTCCAATTATTATTGATTCAGATTACCAATAATATGGACAGCCCCCTGTATAATTAAGCTGAAACAGAGCTGAGATCTAGGCTAGCCATAATTCTTTTCCACAAAACTAGGACAAAGGTATACAGGACAAGACTGGGTGGCTTATAGACACCCCTCCAAACCAAAACACACACACACACACTATTTTGACGTTTAACATTGTTTTATTGCATATTCAATTGCTGTTATTGTTGGTGCTTTACAAGTACAATAAAAAACAGTGGCCCCTGCCAATGCCATATTCTTTTCACACACTCCTATGGGGAGGGGTAAAGGGAAGATCCCATGCAACTATGAAAGTAAGAGGGATTCCTTCCTACTCTGGCTACTGCTTGGAAGTTAAGTTCCACCACTTTGCCTAACCCTAGCTCAAGCAGCATCACTACACAATTAACAGGACACAATACAAGTCCTCCTCAGCCCAGAGTCTCAGATTGCCTTCTTTCCTGTCTTTTCCCA